TATATATATAAAAAAATATATATATATATATTTGTGTCCTGTGAAATATATTGCTCAATCTGTTCCCGGTTGTGCTGCTGCTGATTGAATTGAATATCACTGCTTTTCTGAAGTTCTTCTTTCCCCCTGGGCCTGTTTTGTTTTATTAAACTTATACTCTGCAGCATTTCATGGTGAGCAGGGAAACACTATAACTATTGCTTCTACATTGCAAGTTACTCCTCCACTGCAAACCTGACATATCTAACCTTAACTCAGGGTAAATTGAATCACCAGTACTGTTGTATGCACACACACATGTCCAGTAATGTGCATCTTGCCAACATTTAATCTGGTCTCTCACAGGCTAGATACACGACTTGGGAGAAATCAATAAATGTGTTCCTGTTGTAGAGCTTCAGAAATTGTGGGGGTTTTTGAATGTTTCTGGGTATTTCTTTCCTTCATGTTAAAAAGAGAGAAGGGTTTAAGCACTGAAGAGCATGGTCAGAATTATACTTTAAGGTAATTCACAATAACTGGAGGACTGCGTCCTAGAAGGCATGTGCAAGACATGCAGAGGAAGCCTGAAGTTTCTGGTAGTGCAGGCAATGGACTAAGGATCTCTTACCCAGAGACAGGTACCAACATTGACAAAGAAGATCTGTGTGGCTACAACAGCTTGGGAAGTTTACCTAAAGCAATGGTGGATGTTTGAAGTCAGGCTCCCCAGGTTTAATGATGATTATGAATACTCCTTGATAACCCTGACCAGATTTGCTATCTGAATCTGGTTCTGGTGTCACAATATCACCAGAGATTGCAGTACTGTTAAAGCTTTGTGGAAAGAATCAGTAGGTTTCCAGGCACCTATGGATTTTGCTGGGAGACCAGGATCCCTCTGGAGGACTTCACTCAAGAAGACATGCTGCCATACAAGATATGCTGAAAACTTCTCTGCCTGTCTTCCTTGAGGAACAGGACTCTTTAGAGCAGCACTGTTCTCTCCCTTATTATTCTTTTCCCAGGGTCCACTGCTCTAATGAACTTGTTAGCTTTGCTTCACTTTATTTTACACTGCACTGATCTCTCATGAAGAAACTTGAGCTTATATATTTCAGTAATGGTTTCTTGCAAAAATTTGTGCATGATTTTAACTTACCTTTTCTTGCCTGCTAATACTTCAGTTTTTGCAGAAGGGCTTCTTGTTCAACACTTCCTCCCTGTATGCCGAAAGACTGAATTTCATCTGGGGAAGGAAGACGTAATAATAAAAGATAATGTGATCCACAGATACTGGTGCTGCTAAAATAGAAATATTATATTTTCTTTCTCTGAGTGAGCTCTTGGAGCAATTTGTGTGTATCTATGACTGTGACTTCCTGGCAACTCTGAGTATAATGTGTGTTTTGCTCATAAAATCATTTGTTTTGGAGATGTGCTGTACCGGTGAAGATAGGTAGACAGCAAATACACTAAAAACAATAACCAAAGAAATTGCCAAATGAGCAGCTGTAGTTAACAAAGACATTGCCAGGGAAATTTTCTAGTGTCAGTGTGAGCCTGAGTTATATTTAGAATTGTTTACTGCCTCTTCTCTCCTGCTGGAGCATTGTTTTCAGAAGCTGAAAGTCTGCATCCTCTGGTATTTATTACTGAGGCATCAGAGTGAAGTGTAGCAGGGGCAAGGGAGGCAGCAGAGAGAGTCAGAAAAAGGCACTTGACAAGCTGACAACATAAATAAAAGAACTGATACGGTGAAGTCTATTATGCAGTATGTAAAATGCTGCTTGAGAGACTGTACACAAGAAAGGTTTATATAAAGGAAAGAATCTGGTTTTGAGCAATGTCATCAAAGAGCAAAAGTCGATGCACTTGACTTTGAATCTTTAGATAATGTACTAACATCTGCATTTTGCCTCTGGACAAATGAAATATTTATGTGTAGCTAAATCATGGTTAAATAAACTTTAATGATCCGAACTATTTTCTAAGAAATTGGCTAATATGGAAAGTTAATTTACTTCCCGCCCAGTTATCTAAACATAACTGTTTCAAACATTGGTGCTTAAAACTTGACGTTTGGAAGCATTTACTTTAGTTCAGTGAAGATTCAGTCTTAGGCTGACACATCATCAGACTAACACACTTTTAACCTGAAATACAGTGATAATTGTTGTCTCCAAAGCTCTGCCTTCCTATGGGGGACTAGTTCTTCATCTCTCTTCCTGGCAGCCTCAGTGATTATAATTGGTGTCATTTCAACACAAAAGTGTTGAAAGATGAATTATCATGAACTTGCCTTCTTAAAACGTGTGTTTGTTCATCACTTTTCTTCTGTACTCAATGTGACCAGAGTTCTGGAAATGAGAGGCCCAATTTCCATGGTAAAGAAAATGCTCCTACTCTTCCATAGTATTATTTAATTAGTCTTTAATGGTCTTTCCATAGGCTGTATCAATGTCTTCCATTTCTTATTCTACTGTTATTGTACCACTGCATGGGTAAGTTCTCCTGCCAGAATGGTCTCTGAGCTATGCCATCAGTTCCATTAATTCTCTTCACTTTTGTTATTTACTTTTCCCATGAGCAAATGGGACTGAAACTACCTACCAGCCTCACGGGGGGGTTTGAGCGGCTGGTTGATTTTGATACAAAGGCTTCCTACTCAGGGTTGGGTGTTGGTAGTGTGGGAAGAACTGCATGCTAGAGGAGATGAACGTAAGGGTTTGTGTGCAGGCAGAGAATATGGAGGAGGAAGAAACAGTCTCGAAGAAGAAATAATGGAATCGGGATTGAAGTGGATTAAAATCCGGTGTTTACTCATGAGCTCTTGTTAGAGAGTGCCTCCCTGTGGTTAGGGATGCTGTGACGCAGTTACACCTCGTATGGGCAAACCTGCTGAGTTCATCCATGACCAAAGGGTTGAGGCCATAGATTCATGACATCTGCAGCCTCAGTTTAATGTGATCAGAGATTCTTGCACTGGCACCATGTCACTCACTTCAAGAGGGGAACAGACTGAGTGTCATGCGTGCGTGTGGGGAGAGCTGACAGAGAATGCACAGTCCTGAGATGAAAAACTGCAAGTCTCGGTATTGCTGTGTCCTGTGAAACACCTCTCAAACACGAGCACGTTTGCACATACCTGCTTTGCTGCAGTACTCGTAACTCATCACGTATTCTAATATTGTATTTTCTTTCTCTTTTCAGCAAACTGCCTAGCTGGGCTAGAGCCGTTGTTCCCAAAATATTTTATGTTACAGAGAAGGCTTGGAATTATTATCCTTATACAATCACAGGTAAGGACTAAAGAAGTGATTACTGACTTGTGCTTTTGGGAGAGTTTAGCCCATCTTCAGAAGCTCCAGGTTATGTACTGAGCCACACGTACCAAGTTTCTTTAATAATTCCTGTTGAAGTGCATATAATTTTACCATCTTATATTGGCTGATATCAGGAAATAAAGATCATAGAGTATGGGTGGATAAAAACTGGAGTGTTGAATCTGTGCAGTTTCTTCCTCACAAAGAAAAACTCCAGAGGCTTTTTTATTATTAATGTATGTTGACTGTAAGGATCTTGGATCATTGTTTCATGTCACATATTTCATATTTCTCTTATTTTTTCCCCCCTCATCATGCTTTTATTTACGACTGGACAATTGGGAACCAGAATACACAGTAAGTTTTCCTTCCTCTTTTTATTCTAAAAATAGCATGAAATATAAGAGTAGAATCCAAACCAATTCCCTCTTAATGTAACGAATACATAATGCATTCAGTAGTGGAACTTCATTTTAGCTATTTGCTGAAGAAATTTAAGGTTAAATTTGAAGTGTTGCTGTAGGATTATTTACCTTTACGGGGTTTTATCACTTTAATTTGAAATATTTTTAGTCACTGTCTGTACTAAAGAGAAGCTTCTATAGAACAGGGCAAGGCTTTTAAGGTTCCACTTATTACGTGGAGACATAGGAACAGATTTTATTTTATTTATTGTTTTATTAACTTATAAAATGCTCGTCTCTGGTATAGTATCTGGGAAACTGTACAATCTGTAGACAAAATTAAACATAATCTGGGCACAGTGCCCAGAAAAATCAACTATTCCCTCTAGCAGAGCTAAGGGAAAATATAGCAAGTAAATCATGAGAAAAATTGTTTTAAATGTGCTGGTCTCAATCATACACGCTAAGTTTTCAGCAACCATTGGAAGATGAGGAGGAGATGGTGAGGAAGTTCCAGGTGAGGAGACCCATCAGAAACTCCTGCCTTGATTTTTCTTAACTCTGCAATGCGCAGAGTTTGCGCAGCACACAGAGAAGAAAAGGAGTTTAATGTGATAAATGAGAAAACAACAGAGATTTAAAGGCTTGGATCTGAAAGCTGGAGACTTTTCAATATACACTGTAGATACTGATTACATATTCTGCTTTGTATAAATTCATTTGATTGTCAGAGGAAACCCAAATGTCCCATAATGGGCAGTAGTAATGAGGGGACAGATTCTCAGCTACTTCTGTTGGAAGATATCTTCAGTAGGGCCTGTCAGAGTTTACATTCATTAAGGGTTTACCCTTTGATAGCAGGTTTAATCTTAGGCTGGGAGTTGACACTTGCTCTGTTGGATCGATGGCTTTGACTTACACTGTTGTATATTTTTTCTTTAACTGAAAGTCAGTTTGAATTTTGATGTGATTTTTTTCTTCGACTGGAAGAGACAAGTCAAAGTGATTAAAGGGGTGGTAGCAGACAGAAAGAAATGTCTGGATTTGAAATGCATTACATTATCAAAACCAAGCAGCAGTGCTGTACTCATAGAATTTGAATCAGGAGGTGATCTTTATCTAATCTGAGGAGACAACACCTGGAACACGATTTGGTGAAGGCCTGTGCAAGGGGTACAGCTACAGAGATGTTCACAAATGATTGCAGGGGTGAAGAAACTTGTAAAGAAAAATCGCTCTACAGATGTAGAAGGTAGGCAAAACAGTCACTGACAGTATAACTGCCTGTGGGAGCTGGGGACTAATTACTCACCATGGTGCACAGAAACACAACTAGAAACATTGGGCTGAGATTAAGGAAACTTCTTCAGACAGAAAGCTAAAATATATTTTAATGGAGCTGATAGACTATGAAATTATCTTCAGGGGAAACAGAGAAAGTGCCTTTGCCTCAACCTGTTTAATCTAGGACAAAAATGTTAAAGACACCACTGGGAATAATTTCTATCCTTATCTGGAATATTTCTCTAAATTTTGATCTTTTGTATTCATTAGAGAATTCTGAGAGAAAGAGTAAACCCACAGGCATTGCCCAAAATACGTAAGACAGCTTGGAAACCCTATTCTTAAAGATGGTAAATTCCCTTCAAAGACATCCTAAGCATTAAATTGAGCCTCATTTCAAGGAAAACTGATTCTAAAGGCAGGCCAATAATTGGATAAATAAAGCATAATCTCATTGAGTCAAGTACCTACTGCTGTGTAGTATGTTCATGCCTTAGTTAACCTCCACCCTAGTTAAATTCCACCCTAAACAAAGAGCAAGGACTAAAAGGCTCAGTAGTGTTATTTCAGTGTCTGTTGGTGAACAACAGGCTGAATCTTGCAGATAGTCTTAAGGTTTTTCAGTTGTAAAATACGAAGGGTGTTGAGAAACTGCATTCAGGCACATCCACTAACATTGAGAGATTCAATGCATAATAATTTCATCACTCTGGTTTTCCGGCGCGATATTATGGGTTTCATAAATATGACCTTCTTAAGCACATGAAATTAGGACACCTTTGAAGAAAAAAAGCTCAGCAGGCATGGAAAATAAATGCCAGAATATTGCTCTCTGCAGTGGTAGTAAAGACAAGAGTGATTGAATGCATGAAAACAGGGATGGAGATGAGGTTGCCATGAGGTTAGTACTCTATAATCTGGGTCTGGTTATGATGGTACCTGCTTTAAGGAATGATATTTGATACGCAGCAAACAGCAGGTCAACTACCAAATCTCGACAACCATATTAATATGTAAAGCAAATAACACAATTAAGATAATGAGTTTAACAGAACTATTGCACAGTGATGCTTTTGTGGTAATATGTGAAATACTGTAATGTCAGGAGAGCATTTTCAAGTGTACCCTCCGCTGGTTGTGGAGGAGGGCCTCGTTAGAACTGCGCTACAAAAGACTTCCTATCAGGAAGAAGAGATGTGGGTGATGTCTTCCTGCTGAAAAGGAGGAAATAGAAGAAATACTTCCAAAGCTGATGCCAAAGGAAGTAATCCACATCTGGGGGTATTATTTAAAGAATAAGATACTTCTATCAAGTTCAAACCCTTGGTTTAGGGGCTGGGGCATTACTGGAGAACTGTGTGTGAGCAAGTCTCTTAACAGGAGTCGCTTTGGTTTGATCTTGTAATTAGAAACCTGACAAGACATCTTGCTAAAATAAATGTTTATTTAGAAGTTCATTTAATATCGTGATTAGATTGATGTTAAGCTCATAAATTTGGATTACTGTATTTGAGATACAACTGAAAGGGAGCTCTGTAGGACTAATTCTTAGGGATTCTGCTCTGTTAGTCATTACAGGATTCGGGTGCTGGTGAGTGCCTCCTGTCAAGCTACACATGCAATTGGGGAATGGGTGTTGCCAGCTACTAGCTTTTAGAAAGCATTCCTGTGCTAGTCACAGGCTGAAGCCTTTCTCACTTGGAGGATGGAGGAAAGCAGCTCTCAACAGCCCTTATGTGCCCACTTATCACAGCATTTACAAATAGGTATCGTTAGTGTATCATATTTATGCTGTTCTTAGCTATGTGGACAAGAATGAGTGAACTTTCAGGAGGCTTTCCTAGTTTTCTTTCTTTGTCCAGCTGGATTAGAAATAATTAACTAGAAAGCAAACCTTTCTCTATTGCAAACCAAACAGAAAAAGGATTGCGTAGAACTAAGTTTCTTTACCTGTGTCAGGTTATTGTTAGACAATAAGCAGCACAGAGCCAATACCCATTTGACCTGTTCAAGTGACAGTTAAAATTCTGGGCAAGAAGAGAGGAGCCTCAAGCAAGCAAATAGTCAGATCACAAAGGTATGGGGACAAAACCATGGTTCAAAAAATCCTATGATCCAAGTACACCGAAAATGAGCCTAACAAAGTTCAGCTGTTGGACTGGAGTACAGAGAGGTTAGGAGAAATATAAAGAGAATGGAAGCAAACTCTGCTGAGTTGGAAGGTGTAGTTCAGGTGTTTATCAGGGATAATTTCAAGTAATTTTGCTGTCTGATCCAAACAGCTTCAGGGTTGCAGCAGTATTTCAGTTCTGGGGTTGAAATTTAGAAGCTGGATAATATATTGTTATGGATCATTTATGGCCAATTGTTAGTTTCACAATTATAAGTATATAAAGCAAAATAAACACTAAACCTGACAAGTTTTACTCTCTGCGAGGAGGAAGAGCATCCTTTCAACCTGCGGATGTCTCCAATTAATTTAGGAATAGGACATGAATTCAGAATATTTATGAAAAACAGTTATGGAACATAAAGCAGGAGACAATGATTCCTTTGATGATGTCTCCCAGTGGCAGTAATTCTTCTACAGCAAATGACTGAGACAAATAAAATGATTTCATCTGGTACATGTCAAGGCCCCAGAGGGCGAGTAGGTAAATGTTGGTTATTGACCTGCTGGTTTCTGATTACTTTTCAGAACGAGCATGTTTTTTGCTTCATTTTGTTGCCAGTTTACCCATGAAGTAAATTATCTGGAAGGAATGTTTTTGTAATTGTTATTTTTATGATGAGATGACTTGAGAAGGACAAAAACTTGTTTCAGATAAACATTGCAAGGAATCTGTAGAGTTTTTTCCTGTGTTCTCTTTATCGGATTATCAGTGCTTGAAATCTGGATGTGACCCATTAGTCTTCAGTGCACAAGCTTTTCTCCAGCTTTAGTATATGAAGAGTCTGCATCAAAAATGCAACAGAGTCTGTATGGTAGGATTAAAGCCTAATACACCGTTACTACCTCCCTCACCCCCCAACTTGGAAGACGGGCTAACTGGGGACATTACTGTGGTACAACACGTATTTTGTTCCCTTAGAGATTCTACCAAAAGGAAACACCTCTGTATTTATGGGAAACAAATACTGTATTTTTGGAAAGCTGCAAACCTGTATTCCCATTTAAGAGCTTCATCCCCTTGAAATAGAGTAAATCAAACTGCTTCGGAAAATTCCCTTTTTCCACCATTGGCTTACTATAAAACAACCCAAACCCCTCTCTGATCCATGGCACTGTCATTTTCACTTGTGCACGCTGCTTCTTGCTTCCCTTCCGTTCTTCCTCAATAAATAGTTACTGTTCCCGTGTATCAAACGAGGAGATCCTAAGGGAAGGCAAAACCAGGGATAGGTGCTGAGTTTCATTGTGGTTGGAGGCAACTTGTTAGTTGACTGTTTCATCTTCTTACTGTATGTAACATAAACAAGTAGTGTTTTCCTTTCTGAGTTGTGTATGAGTTTAACTCCCTTGCTTGTTTTAAAGCCTTTTTTTTTGCATTGTTTTGACTCTTTCCGCCCAGCAGCACTTTTTCTGCTCTTTGCCACCTTCCTGTGCTTATCTTGTGTTCCAAATTCTCCTCCCTTTCATTGAGTCACATCTTCCAACTTCTGCCATTGCCCTGCCCAGCCCTTTCCGTCTATTCTCTTCCAACTTTGTCATCCTCATGGATGCTAGCTTGTGTAGTCAGTAACCCGTGTCACACAGCAGGTCTGTGCTCTGTGCAGCGCTGCCCGGAGTATTCCGAAGATAGTCAATAACATGATGACCAGTTTCCAAAACACTTTGAATTAAAGAAACTATTCGTTCTGTTAATAGCTGTAATACTGTAATTTGAAATATGCTGTAGAGCCATCAGTGTATTTTCTTCACATATCTTCTTGCATATGAACTGTAGAGATGATGTCTTGTTTATCTGTACCCAGGTGTAGTTTTGAGTCTTTCTCCTTCATCCAGGTCTCTCTGTTCTGACCTTGCCATTGTCAAGTGGCATTGCTAATCTCCCATGTTACATTGTCCTCCCATTCCATCCTCTTGTTTATAAATGCTCCCTGTTTCTCCAGGGCTGATGTGCGTGTACCTGCCTGTTTCCCTCTGTGCCCCTTGCTGTGCTAGCATTCCTCCTGCCTCAGTAAGTCTGGGGATCTTCCACTACCCTATAGTCCCCTTTGTCTCTTAAGGAGAAGTAGGGATTCCATTTGTCTTTTCCAGGTTTTTGATCTTCAATAAAGAACTGCTGTGTGTCCCGCTGAGTACCAAATCAGATCCCTAAAATTCTGAATTCAACGGATGTGGTATTTAGAAGTTACCTTATTAAAAGAATCTAGTTTTGCTTGGCCAGTCTCAGCCCATTGTAGCAATTACTGTGTTCTTTACCTCGATGGGGATAGCTCTATAAAGGGTCTGGTTCCACCTGTGTTGCCAAAATAATGTATATGTGTCCATATAAAATAAAAAATCATCAGTCTGCAAAGTGGCAGGAGATAAGAGCACAGTTACATGAAATGTCTGCCTCTCCGGGCTTTTCTGTTAAGATTTAGGGGGATATGCTTCTGCTGCTTAAAGAAAAAGTGGGATTAATTTTTACTGTACAGAAATAACTCCCAAGGATTGTGGATTAATATTCAGAAGAAGGAAGAGCAGGGCAACGATGAGGTCTCTGGCAGTTCTTTGAACACTGCAGAAAGAAGCCAAATGGAAAGTGAAAGCAGCTGAAGCTGTACTAATGAAATAGCAGGTTAGAGAGGGTGAAGAAACCTGTCTCAGTTACCCCTACTTGACGGTAACTGGCAACTATATTTACTGGCAACTATAGTAATTCTTGCAGCCACCTCAGGTGTAGCTACTATGCAAAGGCTATTTTACAGTCCTTTCCATAAAGCAATTTTAAACCACTGTGTGTGTTTGACTGTCTCTTTAAGACTTTGGCAAGTGTTTTGGCATACTTAGGTTCTTGTAAGTGTTCTTCTAAGTGTTGCTTATTGCTATGGCAACACTAATCAATCATCATGCTAAAAATAGGCCTTTCATTTTTCAAGAGGTTATCTGTAGTGAATTGAAAATGCAAGTGCAGTCTGTGTTTTCCATATGCTGCTTTCATTTCACTTTATTTTGATCTGGAGATACCCGTGCTTCTGTGTGGTAATTACTATTACAGACTCCAGTTATCTCACTGGTTACTCTCCTGAGCCTCAAACCCCTCCTGGTTCTTCCAAAAGGGGTGCCAAATACAGAAAGTTTAAGAAAACAAACAAAAACCCCAGGATATTCTCTTACTTGTTTTTGAGTTTCACAGTTATTCTGGATTATAATAGATTTTTAAGGAGTTTCTAACACATCCAAAAAACCTGGAGGTGACAGTATAAAAGATGCCTCCTTTGGGAGCTTTACACAAAGAAACCTTACTGAAGACACAAGCACTCTGAGGATTTTGCCCTATTATATAGCATTTAAACCTAATTTCACATTAAAGATTCAGTTTGCCACTGTTTTTTTCCAAGAGGAAAGTGGCAGGCTGTTGAGACACTGAAATGGGAAACTCGAAGTGGTGCCCAGTGCGTTCCTGCCTGTGCTCAGCGCATCGATCACCACCAGGCTTGTGCTGGAAGTACACACACCCCGGGGAGGCAGAGCAAAAGGGAGTGGTGCTCTGAGAGAAAACCTTCTAAAAGGTTTATTACCTGCCATTCACTCCCAAGTTTGACTGTGGCTGTTGCATAAGGCTTTTAATCCCCAGCTAAGTAAATACACAGACACTTAAGGAGGGGGGGAAAAACCCGACAACTTTTTGCACGATGAATAATAAAGTCTTTTGAATGATGCATAAACAGTTTTCTGGTGCTGCCAGAGCCCTCTGCCAATTAGTCAGAGTGCAGCTGATGAATCATGAGACACATTCTGTGAAATGTTCAAAAATCTGGACCCAGCTCCGTGTTCCTGAAAGCCAGTGAGACCCCCCACAGCTGCTGGAACAGTGGTTGCCAGTCAGTTGAGTTTCTGAGAGGGAGACATGCAACGGAATACTTCTTGGTAGATTTAGTTTGGGTAAATTCATGTTTCCAGTTAGAATCTCAAATTAGATTATCACAGTCCTGACCTTCATACTACATACACGGAGAAGCTGACTTTTAATAGCTTTGTGCAGAAAATTACTCTCTGCTCTCTAAAGAGCAGAGTAAATGGCACTTACAAGTCTTCTATAATACTCTGAAGATCCTTGGTCATTTCTTAATGTTTCTTTTCTCTTAAATACAAGGTTAGAAGATCTCTTTTTTAATTAGAGTTTCGTTTCTGGGTCACAGGAAACAATAACTAGACTCAAGCAGTGGCTTGCTGAACTGCTACAGGCAGCCCAATGCAATTTGAGTTCAATCTATGAAATGGCTGCGTTTCAAAGTATCACGATCTGGCTCGTTGCTGGTAAACTTTAGACAGTGATTGAAAATAGTAGAGACTTTTTAATAGCAAGATAAAAAGGAAATCTGGCATTTGGCTTTATTCAGAATTTCCCTGTGTCTCCTGGATCATTCCCTATTTTTTTGTAACCACATTTATAACTTTTCTTACTCTAGGAACATTTGATCATAGAATTCTTTATCAATGCCATTTATCCATCTCTTCTTCCAGCTAGCATTAGTGTAGTTCAAGGATGTTCATTCCAGCTTTCGTTTCATTTTTGAGACACAAATTAGAACCTTATGACAAACCTTGGTGCTGGTTTTCTTTTTTCTTTTCCCCCAACTTCTTTCCCTGTAGTGCCTATTGTGTGCCAAGGCTTTTGTTTGCAGATGCCTGTGATGTCTGCCAGAATAGGAGCAACATGCTGAGGTACACGATGAAACCTGAACTGGGAGAGTATCTGGATGTTTTTTTGGTGTTACAAGATCCCCAGTTCTGACAGATCGCTTATAAATATTGTATATTATCATCTGGCACTGTCTCAGATACATACACAGGAAATGTTTAACTGCCCACAGCATACAGGTCATAGGAGTATTTCTGTCAATGAACTTGCCCCATCCTACACTCCACACAACTGCTGATATTTTACTGTATTTTTCCTCTCACATATTCACTCAGTGAACAAGTTCCATAGCTGAGAGCTTGTCACAGCTGAGGTTGGTCTGAAACTCATGAATGTGCTACTCCACAGACATCTGAGAAAAGGCAAAACCTTTGTGAGATCTGAAGAGAAGCCTGTGGGGTCTGGGCATCTGCAGCACCAACATGTCACAGGGAGGATTTCATTATGTTAATGGGAAGGCAGTTTGACCAGCCGCCTTCCATGGCACCAGAACCGTACGCTGGCAAAACTCACTCATTTTTATAACAGGGATTGATTCTAGATGTGGTTGTGGAATACTGGATCTCCTGTGAGCAGAAGATTGAATGGTGACTTGCTGGGTGATATCCATGGAATTAGGAGTACATTTTCTGCCGTCTCAAAGGAGGTGGCTTCTCGTTTCCATTCTGTTGCACCACAGCTGGTCTTCTAATTCACCTCTGTTCTTAGTCATCAGCCCCTCCCTTAGACAAACTCTTCAAATTTGATCAAGTCCAAACTTGGACCAACAGCAACGTGAACTCTGAGGCATCAACATCCTTGTTGTATAATCTGTATGTACAGCACATTACACAGTCATGGTCTTTACAAAGATACTTTGCCACAGGGTATTAGTGATGCATCACACAAGGAACTGGGACTTCTGTTTCACTGGTGATTGATGCAAGAAAAGACTTGCTGACTAGTGGTAAAGATGCTGAAGTAGTACCCTTCAGAGTCTGTGAGACAGCTACTCTGAAAAGTTAAGTTGAAAAAACTGTGAAATGCAAAAGAAAAGATATTGTAAATACTTTTTACACTGGAACAATGTTGCCTGGTATTACAAATTCTAGTCTTGATAAGCCAACCTGAGCAATATTCTTGAAGTAACGTGAATAAAATGAGAAAGCTGATACCAAACAGGATGTACTGAGTATGTCACTGGCTGAAGCAAGGCTTATTTTTGATGTCAAACATGTTTTTGTTTTGTTGCAGTGTTCATTTTTGCCTAAATTCTCCATTCACATAGAGACAAAATATGAGGACAACAAAGGAAGCAATGACAGTGTAAGTATGATGATGGCTTTTGCAAAATTTGGTTTAATCCTTGTAGTTAAGCATGGGCTGTATGTGGGGGCTGTAGGTCTTTCACTCTGGGAGAAAGGCCTCACCAGGTTTGTACCTGTGCACCTACATGGGTGTCCTGTCCATGAGCAGCTCCTCAGCATGGTGTCTTCTGACACCGAGGAGAGAAAAGGTTCAGGTACACAGCTTCCCTTCTGCCTCTGTATTCTACTTGTTACTTCTCTAAACACAACGTAATTTACATGTGTAAATTTAGTCCTGGCAAACATTTATGGAGAGTAAAGAAAAGATTACTTTTTTTGGGGTGCAGTTATATTCCATGTTATCTATTCACATTATCGTGTCTGAGTAAAGGGGGTTGAATTCAAAGGAGCTGTTAGGAAGAGCAAACAGGAAGCTAAACAATAGTCAGAGATGAGAGACCTCAGTAAACAACTTCAAGGGAACAATGGCTGGACTACTGAGGTGATGCTTTTGGCAACCACTTACCAAAAGCTAAGAAATTCTCAGAGCTTACAGATGAAAAGGGTAATTAACCATGCAGAATCCTCTCTAGAGGAAGGGTGGGAGTGAGTAGCCAGCAGCTGCTGGTAGGGACATGCTCAGGAATAGAAGGCAGGAGGTCAGTCTGTTGCCTTGACAGGGAGCAAAGCGAAGTCACACAACTTGCAAGAAAAGAGTAACATTCAATAAAGTCAGGCATGTAGATATTCAGCCCTCAGATTAATACACAAATACATTTCTATATGTTTCAGATAGTTGTTTGTTGCAAACTTAAGAAGTTTCCTACAGGCATGAAATGCAGTTTGAAATGTCTGGAAAATTGATCTGTAACCCAGAGACCTAACGAAGGAGTCTTTAAACTCATTGTGGAGAAAGAAGGCGGCAGAAAAGCAGATCTTAAGGGATGTGAGACACTGAGCTGCTGTTTCCAGGGGTGCCCCTGCAGCAGCCTTGCAGAGGTGGAAGTGTGCTGCTCTCCAGATGGGGGGTGCGCCTCCCCACCCACCCTGGGCCGGTGTACTAATGGGGCTGACAGCTGTGCACTGCTTATGGCAGAGTAATTACATGTAAAAGAACAACGTATCATTTTGAATAATGCTTTTGGCATACAGACACTTTCCCAATGGGAACATGACAGAGATTATGTATTAGCCATCAGATACCAACAACTTTCAGTCACTGCTAGCCTGAGCCAGAGAGGGGAAAAAAGAAGTGTATTACATTACCAACAAGATGAGCATTAGGTAGTTTATGCACTTGTTAATGTTCACTTCTGCTTTTTGGCAGCACTTTAATCCAGAGCAAGCCTACACCTTTACTTTCGGGAGGTGCAGACTAGTTTTCTGGTACGTTATAGTACCAGCAGTGAGAAGACATTCTGTACTGATGCCTAACAGAGGAAGAACTGAGGCTGTTTAATTTGGGATTTTCGTGTGGGACAGCTTTGTGGCTAAAATTCTATGAATCAAGCCCCAGCTAATACCCAAGTACCCAGCTAGTGGATTTAAGATGAACATAACACGGAGGTAGGATGCCCAGATGATGTAAATCAAAGACTCTCTACTCTGCTTGAGTCCAGCTCTTCAAATGTAATTTTTATCAGAGTGCCAGTGGGGTAATATTATATTACCTTTATATTGCAGTACCTGAGTCATAATAAACTATGAAAGTATTTACCAAGATTAACAGATTTAATCTGACGCTTACTTGAACTAAGGAGGAAAAAGAGAATAGGGTTGCACTCCAGCCCTGATTTCCATGTCATTCTGAGAGCTGGTCTATTCACTAGTGTGAACACAATAAACCAGAGAAAGACAGACATTTTAGCTGTTGATCCAGTGGCACTGATGTGGTGACACAGATGTGGCTGGTCCAGCACCAAAATGCTGGAAGGCTGGTAAATAGAGAAAGGTGTGATTGAGCCTGTGGAGAGACTTGTGTTAAACCAAACACTTTGGGATCAGGACTCATTCAGTCTTGCTTCTGTACCTCAGTGGACAAGCTTAAACCTCACTTAAGAAAATGCAAAGGGTATTTCTCCTTCGTATCAGACAAGTTTAAATTAAATTTCACTGTGTTTTCCTGGTCAGAAAACAACAGGAAACATCCATTCCTAGAGATTTCTACATTTCTGTGTCTCTCAACTATTTCTAGATACATTTTTGAGGTCATACAGGTTTTTTGACATCTTTGGTCTGTTCTTCATTTCCATGCTTGCTAATAGATTAGATACTGATTGTGAAAAGCAGTAATTAAATATAAGGATACTAAAACTAATTCCATTGCTCAGTGGAAGAAAGCAATATAAATGCTTCTGGGTTCCTGTTGTCATTTAGCAGGCTGCTATGCTATTAGAATTATTTCATTTAACATGTTGCACTGTCTGGTAAAATTCTACCTAATTACTGCAACATATCTTGATGCAAAAGTCATCCTGATTTTTCTTGCCAGTTGTCATCATAGCAGGAACTAGTGCAAGATAATGGTACCTGCTTTGGAACCTGATTTTTCTGTGTCTTAGGCTTTGTCATCATTTTAACCTATTTTACATGTGCTTAAAGCACCGTTGTTTCAATCTGCTCAAGTTTGCACTTAATTTGCACACGCATAAACCTTGCCAGAAAGAACAAAGGAAAATAAACCCCTGTATTTAGATAAAACATTGTGTAGATGGTGATAGTGCAGCACCATAAATCCATCCAGTTGTGATTTCTAATGCTCCAGCACAGCTGATGTTGCTGTATCATATCTAGAAGCTCACGTGGCAGCTCTTTCCTTAGAAAAACAAAGTCAGTGTTGGATGAACATGTTAGTACATCAAATATTGTCACTGCTACCTTGCAGCTTTATAGCTTCATTAATAGTGCTAGAAACCAGACGAGTGACTGAGGTCATTCAGGGTTTCCTCTAAAGGATCTTTTTAAAAGTAAACTACTTAGTTTAAAGATAAATTTTATTTTTATTTCATTTTTATTTTTAAATTACAGAACAGACTTTCTAAAAATTAGAATGATTTATAAAATGTAAATGCCACTGTAGGTGGTGTCTGTGGAGTACATGAAAATGCTGCTTCCCTCCTGCATCTTCAGCTGCTTATGTAAGGCAGGGTGGCAGCGGAACCTGCAGCAAGAGGGAAGTGCAGGTTCCTACAACAGCCAGCAGCAGTGAGCACAGACAAGCTACAAAAGTGCCCATTAATCACTCAGTGCACACTTTTTTGCCCAGGAGAAAAATTAGCAATTAGGGAATTTGAATCTAGATGCACAAAATCTGTGTTTTGAATGTTGAAGCCATTAGTTAAATAGAAGAGAGCTCTTAAGGTAGAATACTTACGAAGCGGTCAGAAGTCACAGGCAGGAGTGGTGTAAGGTACTGCTTGTTTGTGAAGAAATTACCAGTCTGTGGTTCTCATGAGCACATAAACCCCCATTTTTAATTGGGCAGATATTATTTTCTTTTAACAGTCTATTGAATGGTCCATGTTTATGTATAATTTCATTCTCAACGGTGTATTGCTCTCGCTTTTTTCGCATCTCTCTTCCCATTTCAGTGTACTCAGATGAACTACAGGCATACGTTTTGTTTTTAATTTTAGTGGGGAATGCACCAGCTTGGGCTTTGTTGATTACAGAGGATCCACCACATGGCTCTAGATGCTGTAATCAATGCACAGTGATCTCACGTGCTGCAGCTCCGTGTCTGTTCTTGCATGCCACAGTCTAGTCCTGTGAATGTTTCTGCCTGGTGAAGGCTGACGTGCTGTCAAGGTTCAAGAAAATCACTGCCTCTCAGACACATTTCAGTTTTCCTGTTTGTTGCAGAAGGATCATTATGTTTGACTGGGGTTTGTTGGGTTTTTTTTTTTTGTTGTTTGTTTTTTAGTCACAGAATTAATTTCTGCTGATATTTGGACAGTGCATTTGTGCCATCTGATGCCATCTGGGGAAAGTAAAGTACAGATTGTAAAAATAATCCAGGAGTTGTCAATAATGGAAATTCAGTGTATGTAAAACAGTGCCTTGTTTTCTTTGTAGCATAACATTTTGCTCTGGAAAACTCAATGGCTGGATCTTGAGTATTAAAGAATAACATGCAAGAACTTTAAGTAACCTAGTCTTTCTTTCTGCTAAAGGACCATGACATTTATTAGCAAGAATAACATTATTCTTAAGGGTAACGTAAGAATTCTGAGGCAGAGTTACATTTCAAGATGACAAATTATGGGTCTCATTGGGCAAGTTCTCATAAGAGTATATTGCATTAATGCTGATAAAGTCATCAGAGCTACAGTGCTAATTCTTTGTCAATCAAGAGCAAAATAGATTATCAGCATGTTTCTTGCCTTTCAAAGATAATATATTGTTGAATGACCACTGCCAAATGAAACCAGGAGGTAGTTCTGTATTCCCTATAGTTATAAATTAACATCTGCTATCAGCTGGCTGGCTTCGGTGTGCTCAAGCTATTAATGTGTCAGATGATACTGGTGTTATTTAATACACAACCTAAGTAAATCGCAGTGCCATCAGTTAAAGTCAGGAAGTCCTTTCTTGCCATTGAGTTCTCATTCTGCAGCCCCATAAGTGACCGTGTACACAGTATTGGACTGCTCATTGTGCTTCATCCTTAGTCTGTATTTCTGAAGTGTGTATTCTGAGTGTGAAATATTTGACTAAAGTGAGAACAATTTTAGATATGGCCAGCTAAGAAGAAAAGCCTTTTTTAGTGTCGCTGGTTTTAGGGTGGTTTATCCCCCTATTTTTGTCTCCTATCTTGGTAACACAGCGCTAGGTTGTAATGAACTTAATATAGAACATGTAAATTAAATGTAAATTCCCTATTTAAGGAAACTGCCATAAAAAACTATTGTCAGCTGCAGTGGAGTCAGCTGTGCCCTGACTTGGCCTCACCGCGCTACAGGATATCATGGTGTAAATTGGCTAAAGGATTGCCAGGCACCATTGCAAATATGTCAAAATCAAGGTTCAGTTTTGGGGATGATTTTATTTGCACCTGGACTTTTTCTGTATTACGTTGTTGAGTATCTGTTTGTTTCTCGTATAATTTGCCATGAAAACCCTTGATTTTGTGAAGCTTTTCCCCCTCTAACAAGCCTCAAAGGATACAGGCAAACAAGTGGAGAGGTTAGCTCAAAATTCCTTCTCTGTCAAAAGCTCTTCTTTTGGTGAATGTAATTACAAATAGTGTGTCCCAAGCACATATGGCTATCACAGAACGTAAGATAAGGCCCATACTGACAGACTGTGAGCAAGTAAAATGGTTGTGGCTCTCCTTTTTGATTTTTCTAACTGAATTACTGAAGTGAATTAGTAAAGGTAGCACTTGAAATGGATGTGGCTTTAAAAAAACTAATCCCAGTAAATATTATTGATAGTCTATTATGGCCTTGGAGCTACTTTGACGTAATTACATAAAAATACAATTCTCTCTTCACAAAGTACAAATCCAAACAAGGTATTTTCTGAGAGATGGAATAATAGAGGAGTTGTGACATGGAGAAAAAAGGGAGCAGGAAGCAAGGCTGCTGATAAAGATGTGGCTGCTCTTCGGCTCTGCAGCAGACAGTGATATTCCCATGCTGTTCAGTGAGTCAAGTTCACTGCTCCTAGGGAAGGATTCAGTCTTTTTCCATAGAAGAATTGTTCCCAATTATGTGTGTCCACATAAATAGTTTTAGCCAGTGAACAGGTTTGAAATTGGGCAATTCCTGTAATCTTTGCCCAAGTAAATCTCAAAAGCAAATTAATGGACTTTGGGAGTAAAGGAGGTTGGAGCACGACTTAGTGGAAAGTTACACACTGAATAAAACTCCAGAAATCAAGTTCTGAGGAGGTGGCCTTTTATTCTAAACCTAATTTTCCTCTAGAAAAATGAGAGTTAAAGTGGAGCAGATGACACAACCTGCTAAAGGATGCTGTAATAAGAAACTGGAGACTAGCCAGTAGTTCTGACGATGGCAATTTAGGGGGATTAGACTTTCAAGGTGGAGAGCAGGTTTTGTACCTTTTTTAATAGGAAAAAACCCTATTCTTGCAGTCGTTACTGCAGTTACACCTCTAAATTTTACATGCTATTAAATCTAGATTTAAACCATATATGATGAATCCATATATATTCTGCTCTTGATGATAGGAAAAAAAGCATCACAAGATATATTCATATATTATGAAACAAAACCAAGGCAAACAAGCACCGTTCTGACCTGCAGAGTGCTGCTAGCACAGAAGAATGGGTTTCAGCAGGGTCTGACTTTATACTATTTCTGTCCAAACCAGGTTGGCTGTGGTGATTTGCCATAAAAGTTACATTTTGGATTAGCTACATCTGAACAAGGTTGAAGCCAGCAACTTAGCCTGAAGATAGAAGAAAAAGAAGAAAAATGGGAAAGGAGCTTGTAGAAATTTGTTGTTGACTTACTGTCATCTCATAACCTGACTTTCTGTTCTGGGTTTGGCTACAAGGAAAAGTCAAGTTTTTAACAAAGTATGTGCTAGGATATGTCATTGTAGGTCATGAGGAAAATGAAGGAAAGAAATCTAAATACAGCAGCACTTGGATTGCTGCAGTATCCTCTATGATCTTCCTTTCCTGAGGTTCTAGAATCATCTGCCAGATTCTGAAAATTTTCCCCAAAAGAAACTATTGACAATCATAAAGATGACCCAATTGAAATCTTTCTTCCACTTTTTGTCATTTTGTGGGTGAGTTAGTCTAAATAATGGTGAAGTTTCAGTCCTCTTGAAAAGTGGAAGTGTATAAATGTTTGTCTGTTGTAAAAAAAGCTGTCACAAACCCTACCCCTAAGAAAAACCAAACCCCACAGCAAAAAGGGCTCTCCAGCCTGAATGTTACTCTGTTTTCTATTTGATTGTGTATTTCAATCTTAATTAATTACTTGGCTTCCAACTGTAAAGCCTGTCCAGCTCTTTCCAATATAATATTTAATATTCTGCCTTTCTACATCATCTTCTTAAGGATACAGATTGTTCTCACCATTCATTTTCTGCACATTTGTGAATACAGTTGCACAGATGGGGAGCCTTATGCTTCTTTTCGTGGCCTTTAATCTCTTCCTTTAAAACTTCTAAATTTCTCTAGTCTCTTTGATCACAAACACAATAAACCCATCCTCCCTACAGGTTTTGAGGCAATCCCAGATTATGGGGCTAGGAGAGGCAATAAGAGAATCAGAGCTAGGAAAGCAATCAGTCTTGTTCTCTAATGACTTCTTACTTTCTACTGCTGATAGAATGAGAAGATTAAATCTCTATCTGCAAATCTTGTGAGGACAACCTAAGAAGGAGAAAAGCATAAATGATTAGACAACAACTTGTGCCAGCAAAGGGAAGCAAGAATGTCATTCAACAAACTTCTGGAATGGAGGAAATGGTCAGAGGTAGCTGAAGCAGCAAATACGGCACAGTTGAAATGGTTGAAAAATTCCTCCTGTTTTTGACAGATTGGCAAAGGCATCTGTCATCCCCACTTCTAGCAAAGCATTTAAAAGAGAAAAAGAATGTAAAACTATATAACTTAGAGGTGCAATATGTGGATCAAGCCTGCAACAGAGCAGGGCACATTTCTTCAGATAAGATATTGGGTAGTAGTTCCAATTTAGGTCCTTGCAAATGTGCAGAGGTTTGTGTGTGCTTAAATTTATTAGGCTTGTACTTAAACCTTACACCGACTGATTCAGGGCCTCAGCTGACCTGGTAATGGCCATTTAAGAGAATTCTCCATTATTTTATTTAAAGCTCAGAGATTATAGCGAAAAGCATCTTGTTCCAGAAATAGCTCAGCTGATTTCATCAGGGGACTGCTCTGTGTATCTGAATTTGTTTAGGAGAAAAGCAAGCAGGGAAGCTTATAAAAAGCGACCTGTATTATACATATCAAACACAACAGCTATTTAAAAAATGTATTCCAAGAAAGAGCATGATGGGGAAAGGACATATTAGCTCAAATTTGTTCAAATAATCACCGTATTTTGCAAAACAAGGACTGGAGAAGGAAAATAAGTGCAGAGATAAAAGCAGACTGGAGTTTCCCTTTGTTCTGTTCTTCTGCAGTTTCAGACACATTAACATTTTATATCCAGTTCACAAAGCATTCAGCATTGCTTATTTTATTCCAGTGCTGTTAATGACCAAGGCAAGTTAAAATGGTAGAGTCAAACTTCAGCTTTTCATGTATTTCCTGAGCAACATTCTCTTACCAGCTGGTAAACTTGTTCATCATAGTTCATTGCTCACTTTGAATGCTTTAAGTGGGCAGCCGCATCTTCCAGAACTACTAAAGTAGCTAACATTCTTGTTAATGAATAGTTGCTGGCATTTTGTAGTTTTAACTGTTCTTTTAGGATAAAATGAAATTAACAGAGCATTCACTACATTTATTTAACAACAACCACAAAAAAAGGAAACAACAATATTTATGCTTCCTGGAAACATTTGCTATAGAACATTGTGCCCCAAAGGAAAAAACACATCCTTGGCTTGTTACTGATCTTGGCAGTGTCTGCAGAGCTTCCCTGAATTTTTTGGTTCATGATGGCCTTTTAGCTACTCACTATTTCCAACTCCTGGATTCACAAGTAGAATTATACTGCAGGCATAGTGTCAGTCACATGGGTCACCAAGATGCCTCAATCATTGAATTCTGGGCACGGGCACAGATGTAAATGACCTGCATTTCAAATATACCCATCGTTTGCCTTGAATAAAACAAGAGACTTGAGGTTCAAAACCAACTCCTAAAGGATTAAAATAAGCTCTGACTGTGCTCAAATGGATGGAAGTTTCCAGCTTCCACTGAGAACAGTTCAACCAGAATTTTGATTCTCAGTATAACAGCAACTTAGCCTGAGTTGTTCACACAAAATATCTGCATTTTGTTCTTGTCCCTAGAATGACAAGGTTAGAAACAGCCAGAGTCCAGAAAGGGAGGGTTTTTATACAGTGATGGAATCCAGCTCAAAGATTAGAGAACACAATAAACCTCATCCTAGATGTTGACTTTACTATTTGTGACCAAAGTCTCCCTTCCAAAAAGTGCAAGGCAGATCTGCAGTGTGAGCAGTAAGTGCTGAACACGATGCGTTAACGTTTAACAGTCCTCTGTTGATCTGACATAGTGGATTGTTCCCGAAAAAGTCTGTGGGATAATTCATTCAAACTGTCATAAATCCTGCTTAGGAACACCTTGTTTATGTATAATCTTGAGAACACTGATTTTCTTCCCTTTGACATCTGCTGGAGAACGTGACTGTGTCCCTGCAAGAACTTCAGTGTCTTACATCAGAAGATGTTCAGATGCAATCCAAAAATACATTATGTTGCACAAGTCATTGAAGTCGCTTGTAACTGTTATTCCAGGTGGATTTTGTAAGGGTGGTGTTCTGAACAGTGCTGAATCTCTTTAACTCTTGCAGATTTTTGACAAAGAAGCTAAAGACCTGGAGCGAGAAGTCTGCTTTATTGATATTGCCAGTGATGAAATTCCTGAGCGCTATTACAAGGAATCAGAGGTAAGAGACAACTTGGTTGTGAATTGGTGAAGAAGGGAACGTAAAAGGCTGCAGGAAATCCTTATTGTAATCAAAACAAAGTTTTTTTGTATGAAATCTTGCTGGTCAGTAGTATTTAAAAAGCTTTCAATTTGAGGGGAAGCAGATAGCAACCTCCCTATCTAGATTGCCTGACACTTCCTTTTGCAGATGGTTCCTTCAGCCTTTTGAAATGCTTTCATACCTTTATCAGAACATAACCTGTACCAGACCTTTGATAGTCATCTGAATTCATTCAAATTAGAAGAGGCCTTTTCTTTGAATCATGAAGCTCAGTTAAGTGTTTGCAGGTCTGAGGGGTTTTAAACATTCCTGTCGTCCTTACTTGCATCCAGCTGTGACAAATAAGTCGTGCGAAGTGTCTGAGCCCAGGCAAAGGACAGATGAGAACAGGGTTGATGCACAAAGGTAACTCAGTGGTGACTGTGACCAAGAGGGACTGAAGCAGACAACATGCTGCAGTGAATCTGCCAGGAAGCATCAATGGCAGCAGATGCATTCAGTCCCTTAGAATTCCCTTGGAAATCACTCCATGTATATTTGATAGTGCACATCTCTGAAGAGCACGTTTCTTTTAGGTCAGTGCAATTCACTGGTTTGAAATCAGCAGCCATCATGCAAATGAAGATGAGGCCTCAGTGGTTTAACCTCAGAGTTGAAAAATGATGGTTCACAACAAGTAGCTAGAGAGGAAAGATCAGATCTCTGCTTGCATTTAATTTTGGAGATATGATTTTCCTCTGGAGCCAAGTATATATTCATAGCTGGCAATGAGTATGGCAGCTGTTTGACTATACAAAACGAGACTACATAATCATTTTTAGGATAGAAAATGAAGACTTGCCAATGAATATATTTCTATACCATAGGAGACATGATTTTCAGACTAAAAAAGTCGGGTACTTGTTATCTTCCATTTATAGATCCTATTTCAAATTTTATGTATGGGTCATAAAACCAAATTGGGTCTACAGTAGAAGGAAAAGTAATTTTATTAGTTTCCTTAGATAATGAAACCCATCTGGTTAGTACCAAAAACTGTGTAACACCTCATGAAACAGCTTATTGGTCCCATCATCTTATCTGAACTCCACAGTCTTCTGGTTCCATTTAGGAGTGACTGCTGCTATTGATTGGGTCAGCATTTGGCTGTGCTTTAAAGAAATCATGTCGGATTTTCCGTGTGTGTGTGTGCACTTCCAGGAATGGTAAGCATGGAGGCTTAACATCAGGCTTTTCAGCTTTCCTTCCCATTTTTAATAGCCAACTATTAAGCATAATTTCCACATGGTTAATCTTATGCTAGAGAAAACCAGCCTCATGTTAAGTGAGAAAGAATTTCAGTCTTTGTGTTGTTATTTCAAACACTAGAGACATGATTCCAAGCAAAATGGAATTTTACATGGGCTTAAACAACAAAAATAGCCCAGCATCTGTTGTTTTTTTCTGTACTGATGGATGATTTGTATATTGCCTACCAAATTCTGTTTCAGAATTTGTACAAAATAGTAAGAACACCTTAGCATTTAATTGTGCACGTACTGTGACTGACACTGAATTAAAAATAGTTACTTGAATTAAGTGTCTTCCAAAGTTTACCAGCTATGGGGTTTTATGCTACCATATGATGAATGTGAAGCCAAATTCCCATTTCTGATGAGGCTTCATACATCATTTAGGGACTATAAAAAAATTTCTAATGTTGCAAATGTAATTTCTGTCTGTCCTCAATCAGAACAGGATAAAAAGTAACTCTCTGTAAATGAGAAACTGTCTGTATTTTCCAAATAACAGTTTCAGAGATAACTAAAATCCATTTACTGTAAGCTTTTGAAAGGTATTTTAGTTACACTAATAGCAATAATGTGGCTGCTTTTGGATCATTTAGCTGAATTGATACTAAGATTAAAGATTAAACATGGTTTAAGAATTAGATCGCACAGGGTAGGTGTTCTGACTCCCATCTGGAAAGACCACTGAGAATGATTTTAACTTCAGGCATGTTAGTAATCTCTTCAGTTCAGTGGAGCTTCCACATGCTTACAGTTGAGTGAGTTCTGGATCGGGGTCAGCATATGTAGCAGCTTCTAGACATGAGCTTTAAATTTCTTTTATATCCTGTTGAAAGTGCACCCCTCTTCAGTTAAAAATGTACTTCAGCTTTTACTAGCAAATGTCATGATTTAGTTGTATTACTGTATATTAAAGAGGTAGCTTAAATAATTTAAACCGTTCACACACTACTTCAGCTGCTTGCAGATGGGTGATAGTTGATACAATCAGGCAGCACTAATGACATAGTTGCTATTAAGCTAGTACTTGTGATTTCTATTATTTTGAGCTTTGAAGTGCTCAGTTATCCTTCACAGGCTCTTTGGGTCAATATCATAAGTTTTTCAGAGCCCTCTGTATGAAAAGCCCCTTCCTAAAATTTGGCTGTGACCTTTCTTTGGGCTGCTGCATCAAATAACATTGATTGTAACAGAATGAGCCTTGGCAGCTTTAGTGTTGTTTTTCTCATTTCTATAAATGGAAAATGTGGTTGTGCAATAACAGGATCATCAATAGAGGTGATAATAGTGCAGCTACCACAGGAGGGTTCAGGAGATACACAAAGGACCCACAGCACCAGACTCCATAGAAAGTGAAGCAACCCATCTCTGCTTCCTTCACATGGGATCTAAAACGTGGCTGTTCACTAACCCTCACATGAATCCTGTAAACAGATCTATAGTCTGCCTTCCATTGTAACTTAATGATTCACACATAAAAAGGCAACATGTATAAAACATCATACATAAATGTATACTCCATTTGAATTGCACAGCTCTTTTTGACTTGTGCTGGTGCTGATGAGAAAGGAGAAGTGTTCCACAAAAATGTCATGGTGGTTGAAGGGAAACTGATTGAATTCAGCTTTGTGCAGATCTGCTTTTTCTCTCCTTCTAAATATTAACTAGAATGGAAAAGTGAAAAATATAGTTAGCTGGAGACTTAAGGAGAGCTGTTGTTTCAGTGAGGAGGAACCTCTGCCAATAATACAAGGTGATGTCTTGTCCAGAGGCCTCCAAGTGATTTGAATCCCCTGCAGAGTGGAGGGCTTATCTGTCAGTGTGTGCAGAGAAAGACTTAAATCACCAAGTAAATAGTGAATCAGAGAGAGTTTGTAGCTATTACAAACACGCACTGAGTCCAGCTCTGTCTTCCATGGAGGTGTGCTGGCTTCTGCTATCCAAAGAGTTGTCATTGTAAAAGCCTGGAGGAGGTATAACTGCAGCAATGTTGGACCTCCCAAAGCAGATGACTGAATTTTAACTTAATGACATTCTACAGCCTTCATTGTGAAGTAGCCACCAGAGCATTCCACAGTGCTGCCACGTCTTAAAAGAAGTTGGATTTTTTTTTACTAGCATGGACCTAAAAAGCCTTAAACTTTAGAAGTTTAAAATATGAGGTTCCAAGTGGAGAAAGCTTGAATCTAGGCTAACAAGTTTGCCTGTTTTTCTGTAAGGACACACATATGTGTCCAAATCTGAATGTGTGTATTGCATCAAATACAGAATTTTCTATTTCTATATAAAGAATGTGCAAGCCTACAGGTAAGAGTAGTTGCACATTTTGTAAATTCATTTCCTTGCGACTTTACCATCAATGAATATGTATCACCAGCCATCATGTATTCCCCATATAGCCATACGTATTTATCTGAATTATAGAAAAGAATAAAACTGAGCTATGCTGAGAAGTGAGGGCCTCAAGTGAATCATTCACTGAAATGAAACATTTACTGTAGATGGGAGCTACTGAGCAAAATGTTCTTTGCAAACATATTCAAGTTCTCAAAATTAACAGTGTTTCATTTCCTGTTTATAACAAAGCAGTTGAGAGTTGGACAAATGGAATCAACTTTTTGAGTTACCTCCACACAGAAAGATTTCATGCAGCTGCTGCAGTTTTCTTCTTCAATTGCTGGCTGCTTTTACTTTAACACAGCTGCACTGTAATAGGTCCAGTTTACTACTGTCCAGGTGCTTTCAGAGTAATGAAACCTTTATCACATTACAGAGCCAGAGAATTATGGTAGTTGAAATAATACAGCTGCCTTGGCCCCTCAGTGAATGTGTACATGTTGGTACAAAGGATCAGAACAGGGCATGGTAAGAGGAGGTGTAAATTTCCTTTTCCTCCTAACTGCAGTTGTGAGCTTATGTAAAGCCTGGCTGCACTATCATATCTTAACACCTCAGAACTGTCCCAGTATTTACAGTTCTTAAGTATTTAGCTGTCTCTTCCAGAAAATAAATTGTAATGGAAATTCAAAAAGGGGGGGGG